GGGGGGGCAGTTTTCATCGAATATTCTGTAATCACTGTCTCAACTTCACGTTGCTGTCATGCTACATAATTGTATTTAAAATTCAGTGTTTTACTATAATGAGAGCCCCTTGAGTAGTTGCAACTAATGGCTATAAGCTAGCGTCTTTTGTGTAATGAATAGAGTTAGTCAGCTGTACAGAGTTACTAAGCCCAAAATTTTGAATGATTTTTGTTTATTTACCTGTGGTATTAGTCTCATACATTCGTAAAATATTTGGTTTCTGGGCTAAGAACATAATCTGAAGATCTTGCCAACGATAGGAACTTTTCTTTGCCCTGAAAGGACCTGAATTGATTTCATAATTCGTAAATTAAATATCATTATCTTTTATTGAGCATCCCATCTTTCTGCTGGGACATTAACCCATTCAGCCCAGGTTGACCGTGTCTATTGTGTAGCGGTGACTGTTGCACATATAAGACCAGAGTACGATTCCCATTTTGGGATACATTAAATCGAGTATTCAATTTTCAGGTATTTTTTTGACGCTGTATCCCTCTCAGTCAATGTTGGCCCCGCTTCCTAAAAAATCAACTTTTTGTCGAAGGGCTCATAAAACACCTACATTCAAAATGAGAATAAAAAATGAATAACGAATTTTTAAAAAAATGATTTTAAAAACAACATAAATAAGAAGGAAGCACGGAAATATTACTTATCTGGTTTTTATTTCTTTTTTTTTTTCAATGCTGTGAACATTTCCTAAATATGCAAAACCACATGAGAGAGAACGAAGCGATGTATATAGATCTATATACTGTAAACCTGCTTGCATGCTTCACGGAGTGCATTTGTGCTCTTAAGAGTCTAATAAATCTGTCACAACGCGGTAGCATCAGGCGCTTGTCAATGTTTCGATATGTAGATGTATTAGTACATGTATTATCTTAAGACACATTCATTTGCCTTTCTTTTTGGTGAAATACTACCTATCTTTCAAGAACAGAAATTAAAATATTTGTGATTGAAGGAGATGGGGATTGTCTGGTGTCAAAGGTAAAATATTAAGCGAGATAATAGCCCCCAAAGTTGTATGACTTCCAAAACTTGAGTGTCTTTAGAAACTTCTAATCTATATTTTTGTGATCGATTGTTATTAATACCGTTCACATGGAAATCTGTTTTAAATGGATATAAAAGGACTGAGTCCCCAAAAGAAAAGTCGTTAATAATTGCTTTACGGGAGGCAAAACAAAGTCTGTTTCTTTGATTTCATCAGTTAGACGAGCGCTTGATTACCCCACGATGCCACATGAATGTATAACTATGCCAGGCACAAACTTAGGTGAACTGCGTTAGTGGGTTTTTTTTAATAGTTTTTTATGCTCCACTGAGTAGCCATTGGGTGCATTAAACGTTATGCCTGCTCCATGGATCAGTTAGTCTGCAGAGAAGCAAAATATCCTTTAGGCCCAGCAAGTACTGGTGCACCTTCTTTGCCGAAAATGTCGTGGAATGTCTATAAGCTATAGTCTGATAATTTATGAAACTCTCGACTGCCATGTCAGTTGTTTAATCTGATGGGAGAATGCGCAGATCTCCTTGGGTTTTTTTTTCTTTTTCTGTGTTCAATGAACACAATCGTTTGTGGCATGAACCATAGCTGCTACGTTCCAAACTTTTCACCTTACACCAATATGGTGCAAGTAGCCTATAACAAAATACTGATAGCCTTGAAACCTGGAAGTTAGGGAAGGGGGAAGTGGGAAGGGGGAAGGGGGATGGGTATCATTGGGGGAGGGTAGGTATGCGTCAACAAAGCGATTGATACATACAAGAAGGTCAAGTGAATTGTTCAAAAATATTTCAAAATCAAGAGTTCCGCCTAATTTTGTATGTTCTGCAAAACCAAATGTATACCTAGAAATAGGCCTTTATCAATATTTCGAGCTATACATATATATATATATCTCTATGTCATGGAGCTTGTTTGTTAGTTCCATGATCCCTGTAGTTTTAACGACAGTTAAAGGCAAGAAAGTAAATAGACAAAGGCAAGGCAAAACACTAGACACGTTCGCTTTCCGGTTGAAATACATGTACTCTCTAAACGCTTTGCTTTAAACGCACCAACGCATTCATCGAGTGCGTGCAATTCAGCATATAATCGGCATTAACATATTTTAAAAAAAATTAATGTTTGCTACCATAAAATATGCAAAGGCACATATTATGAGCTAAACTAAAAAATGAAAGTCCTTTCTGTGGGTCACGATACCTCCATTTGGTGCACATCCCATACCGATTTTAATATATTATTATATTTCAAAATCAAAAACGTTTGCACTGATCTTGTTTTTAGCCTCGGACTGAATATCGTTGTCAAACAAAATTAGGTGCCAGTAATACTGAACAATTGAGGGGGTACAAACATGTAAAGGGCGTAAGTCACATTCTGAGAAAATTTGAACTCTCACTGCCCCAGAACGATGCCACACGTCAAAAGAGACGACACAATATAGCATTTGAAAGAAATAACTGGATGACTTTAAATCAGTTACAGCATTTTCAAATATCTCAAACTAATTACTATGCATAGATCTACGTCTAGCACCTTTTTTTCTTTTTTTTTACTTTAAAAAAAAATGAACTCAAGGTGACAGACTATTTGTCATGTTATTCTGAGCCCCTTTATTGTTTTCATTTCAGTAAAAACCATCGTTATATCAACTTCTCTTTGTTTAAACAAGCTAACCAAAAATTCCGAAAACATGGACATTCGATTCCGTAGACTTAAGTTCGGGCCAATTGAGAAGATAACTCTAAGGGATAGCAATGAGTACAGGTGCGTATGTGGCGTCGGGGGCGTAGTGGTTAGGCTACCGGACTCTTAATCGTTCGGGGGTTCGAGCCGCGGGCCCGACGTTGTGTCCTTGGGAAAGGCACTTTACTCGAATTTCCCACACTTCACCAAAGTGAAAATGGGTATCCAGCTATAGACAGTGAAAGATCTTGTCAGTTTGTTCGTGTTTAAGCGCCTACTTGCACTGTATGCTTCCCGGGAAGCTGAGAATGTTTCTGGGTGTTTTATGGTCTGCTGAGGTAATAGTACAGTGTAAAGCTCATAGAGCTTGCTATTACTATTATTATTATTGGTGAAGAAGTATGACCTGTTTTTAGGAGTATCAGCTCACGTATGTGCTTAATTTTGTTGTTTTGAGTTTTTATAAGTATGCCACTGTGCGAGTGACAAAGAAGAAGGTACGATTAATGCAAAAGGAGATGGAAACTTTGAATGTGCTTGTGCGTGTGGGGAGGGGGGGGGT